ATGGATGTAAAAGCGTCAATCCATTGGTGCGGTGCCATTTGCTGTGCCCTCCGCTACTGTCCTCGTTTCACGAGCCCGCCCCCGCATCATAAAAGGTCGGTTGAATGAACTTGATGGGTTTTGGATTTGGTTCAAGGTTGCCTGCTTTGCGAAGCCGAGTCTACCTCGCCTCCAAGGCTGTACAAGCCCATCACACCACGTGGGCAGCATTGGGAGAAGGTGAGGTGTGCGGTGTGCGGTGGCATACGTGAGTGATGCAACAAGTGTTTTGTATCCACACAAACAGGGAAAGAGAAGTCGCGAATGCATTGATCAAATGAGCCCCATCCACACACCCCATGCATTGACAGGTGACAGAAAATGAGCCACAAGGACTACCAATTTGGTGCTCTTCACCTCTTTCCTCACCCACTTCGCAGGAACTCACTGTTGAAAAGGCGTTTCCTCACCCACTGACTAACCAACTGACTGACCTGTGATGAGAAATTGCCTTTGTCTTGCTGCATTTTAACATCTGCCAAGCAAAATTATACATTGCACCTCCACGACATCACTTCGTCCTCACATCAAGCCCCTTCCTACTCTGCCTGTCTGTAGGTGTGTGTGTGGATGTGTACGTGCATTGGTGTGGTGGACAGCAGGTGCAATTAGTCGCCATGACTTTGCCACTTGATGAAGTCCAAACAGCCTGTTCAACTGAGGTCTGTGCATTCAACGCAACGCAACGCAACTCGGCGGAGGGTGCAGAAGCTTCTCGTCCAATTTGTGGTGTAGAATTGGAGGGAGGTGTGGAATGTGGTGTGTGGTGTGCGGTAGTAAGTAGGATGTAACGACCAGAACCATTGAGCAAGATTCTGCATTCACCGTAATGACGGGTATCCTGTCTCCACTGGTGCATTACTTGGAGATGAGGGTGTCATCAAGAGGAACCTGTGACCATGTTGGAAGTGAGCAATGGAACAATTGATCCGCAACTGCATCAAGTGGGAAGGAAAAGTCGTAAGATACACCGAGCAAATGAGTTTTACCCAACTGGCATGTATTGGGAATGTCAACATACGGCACGCACCACTTTATCCCTAAGGCAGGACTTTGCATACCTTGTGTCCATGTGTATGTATTTTTGTGCGGTGGATTGCAGCCAGTTGTTTACTTCATGAAGGCCAAATGTCAACTGTAGGTGAGATTTGCCTTTACTATGCTATACAACTCAACACAACTCATATCCCGCAAGACTCACAAACGAAAAGATTTGGACTTCGGGTTGGGATCGGCTGAAGTTGGATGGAGATGCTGCTTTGACTTCATTTTATCCTGCAGATTTCCTGCAATACTAGTCCTTCAAGCATCAAGTAACGATGCTTACCGTTTCCTGGCACTAACATTAGAAAACGGCATGATCACATGCGAAATAAAATAGTCGTTTGGGCAATAAAAGTGGGATAGAAAGGGGGATGGTTAGGATTAGATTTTTATTGACCTCGTAAAAGTGGTAGCTTTGGGTCTGTGTCCAGTTGGGAAAGGTTTAATGGTTGTAATGCTAATTACTCCTACGCATAAACATACTTGGGGCTTGATTATAAAAAGCACCATTAAACTATTTGGTTACGTTTAGAGCTCCCCGAAGTTTTATTCCCATATTGTTTTCCATTGGCCCTCCATTGCTAGCTTAATACCACTCAGGCATCTGTCTGGGTTGTTCTTTTAGCTGCTTGTCACTCCAGGCGATGTGTGTTACCTCTCTGATCTAGACCTATCACTTTTTTCAATCATGTGATTGGAGTAATTTCCAAAGTTTAATGGCTGTGAACCTGTGCGGACTTATTTGCCCACAACAAATGCCTCTCTTCCAAACCTTTTTGGCATGGTAACTGGCCGATCCGTTTGAAAGGAGCGTCAGTTTCCTTCTCAAGAGCTGAAAGGTTCCTTGTATATCCTACCGTTCCGCCAACAATTTATCGTCCGGGTGGGTAACCCCTGAAGTAACTTTTTCCATAAACTTAAGTGTTCCACTAGCTAGTCTCCTAGACCTGTTATGAAAATATTAACAGAACACTCATGTTTCGGATGGAAAAGGGAAATTTTACGAGGAGTGTGATGGAGGGATTAGCATTGCTAGCTAAAAGAATCAACTCACCATGAATAATTAAAGTATTCGAGTGGCAGTCTGTGGATGATTACAAAATCACTTTTACTGATTGTTTCATACGCTTTAAAATCCACTGGGCGAGGAAGAACAGAATTTAAAATATGTGTAGAAAGAAATTCTGTTCTCAGTCGTTAAACCGGAAATTGTGTTTGAATGACTTTATCGTTGATACCAAGGTGATGAGAGGTCAACTCTGCTCCATGATCTGTCATAGCATTTGAAGTAGCCACAGTCTGTCAACCACTCACTATTTGATTATCAACGGAGGGAGGCCTGATATGTCAACCCGACTCTTTACCCTTACCAAGTCTTATTCGCAAACCAGTTCGCTGCTTTTTATTTCGAGTTAGTTGTCATAGCCACAGGCAATGAGTGACTCCACCGTGTCATCTAAATATAACAGAGTAGTACAGGAAAAGTCCTCTTTATGTATCAAAATTGGGGAAACCAGCTTGACATGTGAACTTTGGTATTACGAGGTATGGGAGAGGGCGCGCAAAGTAAATAAGGGTCTATTTGGTGTTATGACAAAGCCATCTTTTTTGGTACAACTTGGGTTGCTGTCTTGGGGAGGTTACTTGATTTACGCATTGCCAAGAGTGGTTGAGTGCTGATTGGTCGTCTGTGGGCTGCTTGACATTACCCATGTGGGGAGGTTACATCGCAATTTCGAAGGTACGTTTCCGGTTATTGACAGTGACTTGTCATGCAAAACGGACGAGGGCGATTTCGAGTAGGATAAATAGATGCATTCACTCCTCCCCCAACCAGTCACATTTTTGCGGTCTTTTCGTACCAGTTAATACAAGAGCTGGAATGAGCTCAAGATTGGTCTTGATGATAATCGGCTGTGGTGTAGGGAAGCGAGCAAGTCCATTTCACATTCCGAGTAAATTCTCAGTATCATTCGAGTTCCATACAATTCTCTAAAAGGAGGCTTCTTTTAGGCTTTCAAGAGGGTCCGGTTACTGGTAGTGGAGGTAGCACAAGCAGCGAGCAGAAGATGGGTAAAAATGTTCTGTTTTACACCTCATTTTCTGCTCTCCGTGTGATCACTCTTCTGCATTGGCCACCACAGTTTCATTTGAATTAAAGGTAATCCCAAGGTTGTGTTGGAATTCGCCCATCGTGCCCTATGTTTACAAGCTGCACTGAAGACCTCTCTGGGGATGATTTACAACGAACGCTTTTCGTATGTCCATCGCTTTTTGTCGGGGAATCAGTCCAAGAAGCCCTCCTTTGTCATTTCAGTGCTATCCTTACATCTATCTGGATTATTTTCGGACCATTTCAACGTGGGATGACTTTCGCTCATTTTACGCCTTTTTGTGTGTACAGTGTAGGTAGCAGTTGTGTTTATGAACAATTGGAACTCGTTCGACACACCTGTTGTAGTCTTCATGGCTCTTCTATCACAAAGCTTTACTGATGGAACCATTTGCAGTTGATACCTTCGTCCTCTGATGTACCGTGTACCATAACCAACCAATTCATTTAGATATAGGTCTGCCTTGAAGCTCAGGGAAAGGGAGGTTACGAGTCTATCCCACCACGCTGTCAATAAAGTAGCGTCCAAGTCGCCTTTGAAGAAATAAGAGGATGCACGAGGCTAAAAATGATTTTGTTGGTTGTCTAAGTGACATGAGCCGAGTTCCCATGTCACCGGCATGGGGTTCGGATCGTGAAAGACCGGAATAGTTCCTAAATTGTACTGGAGAACTGGAGCAATTGGGTTATATTTCATAATGTTAATAGACGATGCTGCAATAAATTTTACTCGCCTTTAAAAAAGCTTTTCTTATTCTCATTCCATCAAACGCGCTTAAAAGCACCTAAAATTGTTATTGCGTTGTGCGCTGATTTCGTACTTTCATCAGCTTTCGACTCCACATGAGTAGTCATTGCTATATTTGACAACTCTTCCGCAACATACAGGCGAGAGTTGCTGTTGGCACCCATCCAACATAAAAGATTGATCCAACCTCAATCACCGATACAACAGTCCTTTGAAAGCAGAAATAAGTGTTACGCTTAATGGAAACGGACCAAATCATCGTTAATGGAAGGTGGGTACACGAGGTATGTAGGGGAAACCACTTCGACTTGACATTTTACCTGTCGGTGAGGCGTCGAAGATTCCGCGTTACCGTGACCGCAATCTCACCTTCATAAATAATGGGCGATATTTTCCAAGATCTCCTGCATAGTATGTACTTTGTCTCGGATACTAATCTAACGGTTATTATCTGATGAGTAGACAAACTACACTTTCATGCCATAGTTAGTTTGAGTGTAACATTTCGGCTGGTTTTTGGTGCGCTTCAAGGGATTTGATTGTATATCCGGAATACGTTGAAATGGAAGTCATTGCTCCCAGTAGAATCACATTTGACAAATTTGGGTCACATTAACTACTTAATTTGAGGTCTATTTGTTTCATTGACGTTTCGTGGAGTTACGCGCTTTTTGTTCCAGGAAGTTAGGTATATATATATTGCACTGCGTCTACAATGGCAATGTCCGTGGTTAAACGACCGAGGTATTATAGGACGACACGTAGGTCCGATGGCAGTGCGGGACCGACCGCTGGTGTGAAGATCGAATAGCGTGAACATGAAGAGGTCGGTGTTAAAGTATGCTGTAACACCGTGGCTGATGACTCGGGGCTCAAAGTGAGGTGTAATGGTCGCTATGGTGACTACATTTAATTGGTTAGATTAGGCTGTCTACCAACGCTTATCGGACACACCTTAGCAGATACTACTCAATTAATTTCAGCACCATGAGAACTATGCAACTAATGAATGTACCGACCATTTCTAGTTCAATTGGGCGGAAGCGGTGGATCCACAACGAGCGTGCCATGATACGGTAACACCGATGTCAACTGCAGCTCCGCCTAGCAACCCCACTCGTCGTCATGGTACCGTGGCAACACCGACTCTGGATTTGGAGAGGGTGGTGGTTTCAGAGGGTAGCGCACGGTCCGCTGCCACTACGCCAGTCCCACCCACACCACTTGCTCCTCTCTATTCCACTGGTTCGCTTTCATCCACCTCCGTTTCTGCTTCTGCTTCACCCTCTCTTCCGCTTTCTACTCACTCTGAGATCTGGCGGGTTATTGCTGCCATTCTCGATCCCGAGTAAGTTTGACGGCTTTCTGGAATACTTCATTCATCCTGTTATTCCTAATTTACCGATTGGATGCTAAACAAAACGGAGGCAAAAAAGGCGTGAAGACCGTTGTTCTGACTTATCACAACTTCAGTTAAATTGGTTGAAGTCACTTATGCTTGCAAGAATGGAATCCAACTAGTTCTGCTAGGCGGCGAATAGGTGAGATGCATGGGAAAGACGCGTTTAATTGGCGTTTTGAATGCAGGTATGGTCAAAAGATACCGTGGTGATATAATCGCAGCCCTAGTTCCATAAGTAATCTATGATACCTCTCTTTCACCTCTTTCATGGAATAATTTTTCATCAGTTCTGGTAATGCCAACTCCTAAATACCAGGACTAACATCCTTCGTACTCACAGCCCATTGAGTGTGTTACATTTAATCGGCTAAGAGTGGTTCCTTCTCAGCAGTTTTTAGTCCATTTCACCTAATTCAATTCTGGTTTCATTGATGAAGGAAAGTGAGGATACTTGAACTTCTGTACAGACGTTTGTCGATCTACAGTCGCCTCTAATATCTGCCGAAGTTTTGAAGAACCATATTCGTTTTGTGTCCTAAATACCTTGCATTTATGGTTTAATTACCAAGTACATCAAAGCAACTTCATAATAAAATAAAAAAAGTTGCGTACTTTTTGTTGATAAAAATCATTATTAAACTGTTTTGGTGTATACCTCAAGGCAATTGACACATGCTACTTCAACAGTTTAAGTAATATCGCAATAGTAGAATTGTCTTTTTAAAACAGAAGTAACCTTATCAATAACATAGGTTAGGCAGACTAGTCGAAGCTGATGAGATCGAAAAGGGCCACACAATGGCACGTGCAACCAAAAAGATGCCATGTTGTGCCACTGACAAGGTGACATTGCCTTCAGAATGGGGAATGTGATGAGTGGGAGGCAAACGAACGGTCTTCTGCCTACAATTGATGCTCTGCTTTGGAAGACGTATATTTTTCACATTTTACCAGTGTAGAAAGCCCTTATTAAAATTGACTGTGTGGTGACTAACTGCATTGTGCATCCTTTCCTTTTGTGTAACAGGTACGGTTTGACCTTCATAACAGGCACCGCACTTCTCCCAAAGCACACGTTCTGTGCCTACGATCTCACGAATTGGCTCACACGAAATCTTGTTGATATCTCCTCAAAGGGCGCCGCGGTGAAGTATGCACAGGTACTCACACCAGTATGTTTTGAACCGATCGCCCTTGATTAGTAGGGAAAATGTGACTCCGTATTGTGAAAAGCCAATTTAATTTGGAAGTCGAATGGTTTCACTGAATGTTTCAGAGGCTTTTAATTCCCTAAACCGAACGACAAAATCTGCTCATACTTCATCTTGGATTCAACGCTTCTAATTCCTCGTTTCTGGTAATCGCTTACCACTGAAATGCTTGAAATATTCCAATGCCTCAATATAATAGCTGGAAATGAAGGATACTCACCAACATGTCTATTTGGTCTAGTACCCTTGATGAGAAAAAGGGAGAGTCAATGTTGTTTCTTTGTAGGGCCTCCTAAACAGCGGCTACATTTGTCATACCTCTGGAAATCGAGCTCACAAATTCCTGAATGGCTTCTTCCTCTACACCATCCTTGCAGAAGTCACCAGCTCATTGGGCACTCAGGAGACTGGTGATATGCCAAGTAGGCTTCTCTCTTTTTTCATAGATTGATATCCTAAAAAAGAATGTATCATGATGTATGGGTTAACTTAAGAGCGGCGTTTGAGTCAAGCCATGCAAAGTGCTTTTTTTGACGCAATCCTCCGTTACATTGATATGTACACTTATCTCAGTCCTTAACCTCGGTGCAGGAAGATTTGCTAGTAGTGCTGAAACACTCTGGAACGGCCTACAAAAACCATTATGAGGTAGTTTTAAAATTGTAAATGTTCTCAACTGTTCATCCGCTCGAAAGATTCGCCTTTTTGTTGCACTCCATGTAAATTGTGAGTCCAGGAGTCGTTAACGCAGAATTTGGCGGGCGTTTCACGTGCTGAGTGAATGACCTAATGATTGTTTTCACTGGTCTGAGGGCTGAGGATCATCCCGGCTGAGACTGCTGCTGGCCTGTAGATACTACTTTCTAAACCGCTACTTACAACTGGTCGACTGAGCGTCCCTACTTGAAGTCACCAGCATGCCTTCGTTGACAAGTAACTTCGGGGTATGCCCCACGCAGTATCTCAGGCACATCATCCTAATTCACTGTATGTGACCTGGCTTGCCAGTTGATTTAAAACTGCCGATGTGACTTGGACGCCGAGACCAAACTAATCGTCTCTCAGTGATTGCTACCAATAGTCTAAGCAGAATTTTACAATCAACGCCTTTCCTGGATGAAAAAACTCCAATGCACGTGCGTGGCTAAGCAGTAGAAAAAATGCTTTTAAATCCCCTTTCATTGTTTGATTCATTGTCTTAGGTGAAATCGATGCTTTTCAAAAGCCAACTGTCTACGCAAGATGATATGGAACTTCGGTAAAATGGCGCCACAGATCTTCAAGTCTGTGAGAAATCTCGGCTCGTGAAGTTAAAAGAGTTATTAAAGTCGTTGGTAATCTGCTGCCGTTAAGTGGAATTTGACGATGGCAATCTGGGGGCATAGGGGAATGTCTTGAAACCATGCAATCACCAATCAATTTGCCAACACAGTTTATCTATACGAATGGGGTTCAGGGAATCCACCTAACCTGTTCTTCCATTGGTTTAGACAATCGTAAATCGATGGTCGACATTAGGCCTATCAGATTCTCGGATGGCTATGGGAAAGGTTGAACCTTTGCGGATCCCATTTTGCCCATTCGCCCATGCATAACCTGTTAATGCATTCACTCATCCATTGCAACATGTCTAACCATCCAGCTATCATTCCACGCGACCACTTGTTCAATCACCCGTATGTCCGTCCCCCTGACTACCCAACCCTAAATTCAAGTATTCCAACTCATCAAACTTTACCAAACTGCCCAGATTCGCAACTATTAGCCAATCCACCTAAATTTTAAGCTATCCATTTAATAAATCACCATTCCATTTATCCATTTAATCCCGCCAATCTGTTCATCCATCCACCTTGACGTCCACTCATCTAACTCTCCTTTCATCCATCCGTCTGGTGGTTTAAAACGAACGCGGAAGTCGTCTAACATATGCGTAAACTTTATGTAAACACCGGTGACAAAAAAAACAACAAACAAAAAGAAAGGTGTGTAAGAAGGTTGTTAATTAGTACAGGAAATAGAACATCCATCTAATGTCCCCTTTTGTAAAGTGACAGGTGATGCCAAGTCAGCTAAAACCCCAGATATCTTCAAGAAGGGCTTCCTTTTTTGGCTCTCTGCTTATTCAATCGTCTGTCAGTCCTTTCAAACATCAATCATTCAATCATCACGTTTACTCATTCCTCTCGACTTCATCCATACAATCTTCGATTCATTCGTCTATTCATCGAACCATCCTCTCATCCAAGCAACCATCAATTCATCTGTCTGACTGTCCATCTGCCCAATCGTTCTTTTATCCTTTAACTAATTCTTCCCAGTAAATATTCTCGAATTACTTCACTCATTAACCCATCAATTGAAAGCACACGAGAACTTACTCAGCATGCACTCCTATCGGTCCAGGTGGTCGAAAATCGGCGGGTGTCGACACAGAAGCATCCAAATCTTTGGATGTTCGGAAGATCCCCTTCCCCACCACCTACCTGCCACCGTCCAGCACCTCGCCTCTTGGCAGCTTCTCTACGGACTTCCAAAAGGAATGGGTCGAGGTCCTCGTGGTGCGGGAGGCGCCCGCTGTCACCCATCCAATCACCTCGCATGCTCCCCTCGCCTCCACCTTCTATCCCTCATCTCCTTCCTCTGCTGCGTCTTCAGATGAACTAGAAGCTCACTTTGCAAGTGGACTCCTGAGCACTCAGTGTTCGGGTAGGATATTTGGTTTGGAAAACACTTCTGGCATCCATGGTGAGAGATTCGTGCTAAAGGCGTCTTATTGAGCAGTAGATGTTATGGGTGATCTTTCTCATGTTCGCTCTCGCAGTGGGATCGGAGGGTGTGCTAAGGAAGCGTGTAACGAGGGACCTTCGCGACACTTCAACCACTACTGCTGCCGCGGCAGCCTTGAAGCGTCACCCTGAATGGTACTGCCTTCTCTATGACCTCAACTACCACCCCACATGTGCCTTCGTGCTGGAGATCCAATGGCTCGTTGCTTCCGCCAGTCGGCTCAATGAAATGGTATGTGATCATTCTGTAATGTAGTGGTGTCTGCTTTGATTACGAATGGACATTTTTACTCTTGACCTCCATGGCAGTAGCGTGGAGCTTCATGTTGGTAGTCTTCTGACTCTTCTACATACCACTACACAACCACTCAAGGCTTTTATAAGTTTTTCAAAATCTACCCCTTCTGTTGTCACAGCTACTGCTCTACATCTACTACAAAGCGACGAGCCCCGGTTTCCACATAGTTCCAGCACCCTGCTATCCCTTTGGTTATTCGGGTACACGCTATAGTTTGGATCCCCTGCGATTGCACGTCTTCGTTCCCTGCCGCCTCCTTCAACTTATTTCCCCACAAAATGACACTCCGACGAGGTCTCAAAACCTCTCTCCATGTTCTGTCGCTGCCGAACTCTTCCCAGGCAAAATAACTGCTCTCATCTTTTTGGACTATCAAGAAGTGCCAGAAGTGATTAGTTTTGTTTTCCTCCCTTTCTGTAGAACTGCCAGAGCCAGAGCAAATGATTGCGTTGTTCTACTTTCAAGAGCGAATTCTGAGCAAGTAGGTAGACCTTAAGGAGAGAAGAGAAGATGCGTGGAAATGACATCCAATTTTACCGTTGCAGGTTCGGATTCATACCACTCTCCTATTCGCCAGCGGTGCAGCCACATCATCACAGCCACCAGGGTGAAGGAGGGGAGAGTTTGTCATCGAAACGCGTCCCGCAATCTGTCGAGGAGCCTCCCAGAGGCATGATCTACACCCAACGCATGTATGTCCACGTCTCTGGGGGTATGTTCGCGATGATCCCACTTTATCCACCACCACCGCAACCGCTGCCACCTCCAGCAATGAACGCAGAAAGTGAAGACCGTCTCTCCGATTATTCCACCCCCCGAAGGACCTCCACCAACGTCTATCCACCTTCCACATGCTCCTACGTTGTAGGCTCATAAGTTTTTTTGGGTGAGGAAGCTGCTAGATTTGAGCTTGGTAATGATCATCTTGTTTTAGACGACACTGTGTTCGGACACTAATGTGGCCGTAAGTCAGCAGAACCGTGAGCCAACGACAGCAACGGGTCGCCGGGCAGCGCTGGACCGAAGGACCTCATGCTTTGAGGCGCAAACAGAGGTGGGTTTCTTCTGGGCGTGGAACCACATGCTACCTCGCAAATGGCGTGGTCAAACAACCGGAGACGAGGCCTTCCAAGTTGGAATGCTCGAGGATTTTCGCGCCTTTTGCTCCGGCGGTAGTGGTGAGGGAATCGACGACGGACGCCTAGTTGACACCTTTTACAAATTTAAAGCCGCTCTCAATATTTCTGTCAATGTAGGTACACCGATATTATAATTTGTTTTCGCGCTCTTTTCTACCACTCTGCTAATAAAGCACGTTCCGATTATTTATAAAAATATGTATTATAAAAACGACAAGGAAGGATAAACAATAAATGCGGCTCTATTTCGTCGGCGCACTGATATGAGTCCTGACTTCGGTCCCTCGGATAAAGGGGTGCTTAACAGCCAGCTCAGCGGTTATTCTTCGGCTGGGAACGGGGTCCAGAAGGCGTGTGCATAAGTCGTAAGCCGAGGCGGGAAATTTGTGGGTGTTGGAAAGGGCGACTCCGTGAGACTCGGGTGGGGAGGCTACCTCATTCATCACCGGTGGCGGAGCGATCAATTTCCGCTCGTTCTTACGAATAGTGACCAGTCTAAAGGGACAACTCGCATGCACGTACATATACAGAAGACAGTAATTAACTGGAAAGGACTTGAGATAACAAACCGCTTTTTAAGGAAAACGGTTGGAGTTTCTCCCTCTTGTAGGGGCGGTGGCTTGGGATCGACTAGGAGGCGTTTACCGACCACGTGGGCGCCCTGTTGCATCCGCTCATAACCGAGAAGGTGAGTGAAAGCATGAAGAACCTCTAGGTCATCATCCACCTTGATGAAAGGGTAACGGCCGCTGAGAAAGGTCAATAATACCACCCCGACGGCCCACAAATCAATAGCTGTGGTTTGACGGAAAGAGCGGAGGACCACTTCGGGGGCTCTGTAGCCGACAGTGCCGCCCCGACGGACGGGAGGATGCTTGGAATAGCCACGGCAACCGCGACACAAGGTCAGGCGGTTGCCGCAGACGCATTGCTCCTCTGTGGAACTACCTCCACCGCCACTAGCACTACCACTGAGGATGAGCGAAGAGGGGGAGAAGGGAGAACCTCTCGGGGTGCTCGATCGACAAGGTGTGCTCAAAGCGGAGCATAATGGGGGCTTTATCGTTGCGGGTTTCTCAAGGGCTCTCGGCGAGAAAAGTCGAGAATTATCAAGCTCTCTAAGACAAGAGCTTTTGGGTGTGTAGCTGTGACGATTTTCGAGTGAAAGGCGGCCCTCGCGTTTAGATGATTGGTGTACAGAAGAAGGATTCCATGATTTGTCCACATCACCTTCGAATTGTGAGTGAGCAAGGCCAAAATCTATGAGCGTATATCTTTGAAAACGAAGCGGTAGATATAATATACACAATGGGATTACTTTTGAGTACGCCGGTCCAGCAAAAAGTTGGAGGGCTTAACATCCCTGTGAATAATGCCGTAGCGGTGGACGTATTCGAGTGCTCGCAAGAGATGCAGAAGGTATCTTCGTATGTCTTTTTCCTTAAAAGTCAAATAATAGCTCTGAATTTCAAATGATGAGATATTAAGTACCGAAAAAGACATATGATCAATGTACGGCATTAGAATAAAAGTGTGGTCGCGAATTCGCATGGCTGACAGCATTTTTATGACGCCATGTTTTCCACTTAAAAAAAATTAATTCAAAAGTAGATTACTTCAATTGACGCAAAATCCGGAGTTCATTCTCTATCCGTTTAAGATCTGTGGTAGGGATAATCATCTTTAATGCATAAAGTTCAGAATTAGGAACGGACTTCTCCCTTACGGTAAAAACAGTAGCAAATGTGCCTAATGGGTGTCAAATCACGGAGCCACTAAACAAACCTTGACCTTTTTTATCGATCACATCGAAAAGCGAGTGTATTTCTTCAAAACTGCGAACATGCTCTAGGGTCCTTAATTTCGACATTACCAGACAGATGACTTGCGCTCAGCCAATTACACATCAATGTCAAACCCACTCATTGATACCCGTAAAATTTGCTTGTAGAATTGTTCATGTAAATAGTAATACTTAGAGATCTCATAATTTCCGGATTAAGGAAGAGATTAAAGACAATGGTTGTGTCAAGAAACTGAATTAAGGTCGCCTTTCGATGTACAAGTGATTGTTTGGATGTCCTAAAGGAGTTTGCGTCCTTATTTTCAAACTTATTTGTTTAATGTATGCTCATTCTGTTATTACAAAAAAGCAAGCAGTGTCTTGTCCACTATTTTGCATCAAACGGACGATGAATTCACTAACCGACCCAATCCATCATATTGTTAAATAATTTAAACAAATATTTAAAATATCCTGAAAATAAACGTAGAGCCTAAAAAGGCATGTGATCTTATGCATTTGAATTCACGACTTCAAAGGGTTTAATATTCTCGAAATCGTGAGTGAACTGCGCTCATTCCAGCGACAATTTTCCGAGCATTCAAAACAAAGTAAAACATTTAAGAGTAGGGTAATGCTTCTAGGCGCCTTGCTGCACTGAGTGTTAGATGTCAATAAACCTAGGATTATATAAAGGCTACTTTTGAGGGCGGCGTGGACAGCATAACTCGGCGAAACCAATAACATGGCAATACTAAAACCTTTTGCAGGTAATATTAACTGTGGCATTTTAGGCAAAGGAGACCTTCGTCAATTTAATTAAGATAAGCCAAAGTTTCCTTAAAAAATAAGTAACAATATTGCCAGCAAAGGAAGACGTTTTGCAAAATTACCTTAATTAAACTTTTAAAAAAATTGAAAAGTAAAAACAGTCACGTTTTTTAAGTATTAAGATAATTCGTTTGAATGGGCTGATTTCAAGGACAGTCATAAGGTTGCAAAACCTACTGGCTTATTTATTTTCTCGCCACTCTACTGGTTGCAGCATGAATTCCTCCAAGGTTAGCGTTGGTGCAGGCAAGCTCTCTCATCACTTGCAGGTATTTCTTAGTCAACGTGTGTAAATCACTTTACTAGAATGCTCAAAATCGACTTCTCCTCAAAGGTGGTACAGTAGTCAATGATGACCGCATGTTTCTCGCTGACGTCTATGTTGAGGATGGTATTATCAGGTTCGTAATCTACCTATTTCTTATTTACGCAAAATATAGACAAGTTGGATTAAACTTGACCATCCCTGGTGGTGTGCGAACAGTTGATGTTCAGGGGAAACTGGTCATACCTGGTACGACGCTATTATATTCTCGTCTAACTCAATCTTAGGTGGCATCGATTCGCACACTCACATGCAAATGCCATTCATGGGCACATATTCGGCTGATGATTTCTATTCCGGCACTAAAGCTGCTTTAGCTGGAGGCACCACAATGATAAGTAGGCTTTCATACTCAAAATGGTTCCATTTCCTTTTTTCTCTGTAGTTGATTTCGTCTGTCCCAAGCGAGGCTCTTCCATTTTGGAAGCCTACGAGCAGTATCGTCAAAACGCTGACAGTAAGGTCTGCTGCGATTACGCTCTCCACGTCATTGTGCCACATTTCGACAGCAAAGTTGCCGAAGAAATGGGGATTTTGACGAAAGAGAAGGGAGTAAATTCCTTCAAAAGCTTCCTCGCCTACCCTGATGTCTTCATGCTTGAGGACGACCAACTCTACGACTTCTTTGTTCGTTGTCGCGAGCTCGGTGCTATTGCTCAAGTTCATGCTGAGAACGGGAAACTTATCGCTTGTAAGCAGGAGGAGGTATTTAAAAAGGGCATTCTTGGACCGGAAGGCCATTCCTATTCACGCCCCGAGGAGGTGAGATGAGAAAAAAATGATTATTTAGCATTTATTAGTGTGAAATAGAGGCTACCGGTCGAGCCATAACCCTTGCTGATGCTGCCAACTGCCCCCTTTACGTTGTGCACGTGATGAGCGCTGGTGCCGCGCAGAAAATCTCTGACGCGAGGCAGGCTGGCATTCTGGTTATTGGTGAGGCGATTGCTGCAGGTCTGGGCACCAATGATAGCCACTACTTTAACAGTTGCTGGCGTCATGCCGCCGGCTATGTGATGAGTCCGCCACTTAGGAGCAGTGGTACTGAAAGCAAACTCATGCAAGCACTTGCCAATGGCCACCTGGAGTGCACCGGAACCGACCATTGTGTCTTTAAGGCGGATCAGAAAGCTCTCGGAAAGGATGATTTTCGGAAGATTCCCAACGGAGTGAATGGTGTGGAGGATAGGATGTCGGTTATCTGGGAGAAGGGTGTCGTGAGTCTTGCTTTTATTCCGCCTTCTGAATGCCCATCTCTGGTACTTACACTTGGTTTCGTGCTCTCGATCTTAGACCGCAGGCATTATTGATCCCTGTAAGTTCGTGGCGATAACAAGCACCAACGCGGCTAAGGTATTCAACATCTACCCGCGCAAGGGTCGAATTGATGTGGGCTCGGATGCTGACATAGTAGTGTGGGACGGAGAGGCAACTAGGACCATTTCAGCTTCGACGCATCACCAAAACGTTGATTTCAACATCTTTGAGGGCATGTTGTGCCATGGCGTGCCTCAGATCGTGATAACAAACGGCCACGTGGTGGTGGAGGAGGACGGTGCGTTGAAGGTCAGTCAGGGAACCGGGCGCTTCATACCAACACCCGCCTTCTCCCCCTATGTCTATTCAAAAGTCAAGGCTAGGAGCAAGGTGAGTTTGCCTATTTCCTATTCCTCTCCATTTCTTTTTTGAGATTCCAGTCTGTAAATGAAGGCTTTTATCGTTTAAGCTGCGGGAAGTGGAACCAGTAAAGCGTGAGCCCTACACAGGCCCAGTAATCGATCTTTCAGCAGCGTTGCAAGCTATGGATGTGAATAACTCGGGAGTTGCCGCAAATGCGGCTGGAGGTGGTCAACACAAGGACACTCAGGGCAGTCAGTTCCATCACAGACCTCCCACCAGCTCGGGTAGTCGAAATATGCAGGACTCAAGCTTCTCGTTAAGTGGTGAGTCCTTTAATCAGTCTTATCTTCCAAATCCTATTCTCAATCGCACAGAAATGCGTGGTTGTGGTACCAAAGTAGTGGATGCCTTATGCACTCATTTGATAGATTGTACAGTTTTATCTGTATCGCAGATAAAATAGGAGAGAAAACATTTTGAAAAATGTTTAAATTTTGTGCTCACTTATCCAACACCATTCATTTGAGATCATTCCAAAAGAGAGGACTTTAAAAATCGTTGTTAATGCTTTGGAAAAACGGTTTCCTACTTTCACGGCCCCTTTGTCCGCTCATTAGTAGCCTCCATTTATAATACCATAACGAATTCCGGTTTTTTAGGGGCTTTTGTCGATCCGCCCCCACGATACAGAGGTAAGGCAATGTCTGTGTGTTTGCGTAGCCGACCATCCATGTCGACTCGCCTTATGGTCGCCTTTTTCCCAAGTAGTTTGCTGCTTTTGTGAAGCAGCATCACCTTTTCATTCTCAACAGAGCTTTGTGTTGACCTCAGGGTTAGTGTTTGACCACTGACTTAAATGCCCGACAAGCTAACGGTTCCCTTGTGATTTTTTTAGTTTGTGTAGCTCTTGTTCCGTTTCTATTTGATGGTGTTGTTATTTAGTGCATTATTTAATTGAATTTGTTCCTTTTCCAGGATCTCAATTTGATGACTCGTTGCCATCACGCACTTCGACGCGTACAATGCAACCACCAGGGGGAAAGTCGAGTTCACTTTGGTAGAGCATGGAGGTCCCATCATTTCTTTGGTCATGATGCTGTTTTATTGACCCACCTCCGTTTCTCATCGCATCTCCTATGGCTTATCAATGTCTCTGTGTTGTCTTCTAGCTGCTTATTGTTTCAAAATAAACAACAGTGAAGTATCTTGAGTGGGGATTTACCTTCTCCGTAAACCTCTCCTTTTCTTTTTTTCGACCAATCTTCTTCTTGTTCTTCAATCATTGTGTTTATACCGCTCTTCCTCTCCCCAGCCCACTGATCAATAAATGGACGAATCGTGAGATGGTTTGTGCTTGCTTTTTCTTCTTCTTCTTCATCAAAAGCGAGTTGGTGAGTAGTTGCTCTGTTCTCGAAGCGATGATGGAGGCGGTTCTTCATGTGTCACTACTTCTATTCTCTCCACTTCGAGGTTCTAGAAGGCACTAACGTGCTTATCTGTCAACATGTCACCACACGCCTGGTTCACTGGGAGTGTCGTACTGCCAATTTTCCCTCCCAGAAGCGAATGTGGGTGCACTTGAATTTAACACGCGTTTGGTATGCGTTAGGATTTTTTTTCAGCAATGCCAACTGCTAATAGGGTGACAAGCCAAGTCATCAGTAATGGCCATTGTCACAGCATTTAACTCTACCGCTAGAGTCTTCCCTGCGGGGGTCAGTCTGCAGGTAGCATGAAGGAAGGCATGAGGAGGGTTCCATGCCACTCGCGTGGAAATAGCTTCCAAGCACATAACGCGTCTCTCCTCTCTCCCTGCTGTGGTCCAGGTTGCTGTTTCCCATCAAGATAGTTTTACCACCAAATTTCCTGTGCGTCTAAGCTGGCGGGACTAAGTCACCACCTCGAGTCGTAAGATCGCCTAGGCAACAGCGTGCCCTGTTACATTCTTTTGTCTCATTTAGAGAATAGTCTTGGCGTTCCCAATAATCACTCTCCCGCTTCAGCCATCAGAAGACTACAAACAAGGAGATCCTTACAGTAGGAAAATCTTCAATTCCATCGCATGGACTTCAACTGTCACATCCACCTTGCAAAATGCATTACACGGAGCAAATGGATTTCACAGACCACTTGCTTAGAGGAGAAACCACCGTAGTTACACTCGCTATTTTCGCTTTTTTCTTGTCACCCGACTTGTCTGCCTCTCTGGCTTATTTTTCAACCATCTGAGCCATTAGATCATGATGACAATTCACCGTTTGCCTGTCCGCTTTGATCTGGATCCTTTTACAAATAACCCAAACTTGCTTACTTCAGATCACACCCATTCGCTGGTCCTGGTGCAGAACTTGAGATTTGAGTTTTCACTAACAGACTGATCTGTTTCGTTTGGATCGCAGTTGCCACTCTCCACGGGATCAAGTATTGGTGACAGTCTCCGGCCAACGAAGTCGGCACCTGAGGTGCTCATGAGGTAGGTCGGCGAGGTCTGCACGCCATCGTTAAGGAGGTTGACACGTAGGAGATTAAAAACAAGTCCTGGACTCCTTTCTTCTTGTCGCTCTGTCTCCTAGACAGTACTTGTGCCTGCATCCAAGGTATCAAATGCCAAGGAGAGCCAAGAGCACGTGTGGAGGGGTGTGTATTGGCACTTCAAGATGTGACTTCGCACATTTTACTCCATTCAGTAGGAGGTGCTGTCAAATAAAACGCCATTTTTAAGAGCCCAACACCAGATTTCGTTGCCAACTTGCCACCATTAGTCACCCAATTCATTGTTGTAAACAAAATGACTTTTGTGCAATAAATACACGCCAAAGAAGGCGTGTCAACTGGAGGTGTATTTATGAGGGAGAAAAGAAGGTTAGGTTTTGAAAGTAGACAATTTTACTGCCCTTCCTCGATCACAAATGCTCTCCATGTGTGGGTATAAAGTATACCGGTGAGAGGAGGTGGGTTAACACTGCTTCATACCTCACTATTTGTCAATTTCTGACAGTCCAGGTACGCAATCATGCAGTATTGCACCAATCCCGTGAGGCACTGTCTTGCCAACTGTCAGTTCTTGAATCTCCCGCGATCTCAATGCCTTAGTAAAGTTATCCACTTCACTTTTTCACGGCTTCTTTCGTGCGTGATTTTGCGTGATTCATCAGTCACTTTGAGCGGAGTTGCAACCCTCCAACACGCTCTTTACTTGAACCGGTCATATGAATTATATTTAATGTGCCCGAGAATTCCCACTTCGGCGCCGCATCCCAAATGGTGAAACTGCTAGGCAGAGTCGTTTTTCTCAGCAAGGAAAAAAAACCAAAACATGGTTGGACTGCCTCCATTATGCGGTTGGAGGCATGATTCACTCATCCACGGCAATACCTTTCCATCTCCCTCGCTTTACAGCGCAGCTTTCGACTGACTGCCCTAGCAAGGCGGAGCCAACTCGAGACCACTCAAACATGCAAAGAGCACAGGCAATCAAAAGTTTATTGCCAGCAGAGGCACAATTCTGCTTGTACACCTATTATGACTACTAAACTGCCGTCTCATTGATTTTCTGCCAACTAGTGACAATTTTGAGGGTGGTGGCAGCAAGCCTGCCTCAAAACCCGAATCCCACCTTATTTTGTGAATTAATGACAGCTAAATTGCAGGGTGCTTGTCAAATGTTGCAAGGCTTTCAGTGTTGCATTTATGCATAGCAAATGCAAGTAAACATTCGGTGAATTCTTTGCCGGTTTAAAAATTTTTTCAGTTACCAAACAGCAAAGTGTGGCGTTAAAATTTCACCATAGGTGGTATACACACGTGAGAGGTCGAAAAATTTACATAACTGGTCACATCTCACTGTCACGCTTTTGCAGCAAGTCTAAATCAAAAACAGTTGGTCAGGCAGGTAAAATTTGAGCAGGCTGAGTCACACTGAGGGGCAATACCTCCTCCACCGCCTTTCGGTTGGGTGGCACACAAACATAGCTGTGGTCCCAGAAGCCGTAGACGCTTCACTGCTGGCGTAGGCTGGTCATCAATTACTGCCCCTAGCGAGGGTTGTTTCATGTACTAATTTCACAGGCGTCCATCTCGAAGGCTGCACCATACCTGATTTACATCACTCCTTGACAGACAGGTATTTAGCACACCCATTCACACAAATTCAAAGGCGCATCACACACATCCTTGTGTATTTTGGTTAGGACAAGACTGTTTGACCTTATAGTCGAGGGTTATTCGGTTAGACGGGTGGAAACGTGACAAAGGGAAGCTTGGAGAATGAGTTTCTTTAACTTCGATCCTGTGAAAACCTTATAAATCTCATTATTCTGTAGGCATTCGGTCTCCATGTTGGTGGCCTGAAGGCTACGCCATTGTTACACTCCTCAGAAGAGCATATCCCACACGTCCGTTGTGAAGTCTGATGCATCAAATAGACCCGGGGGGTTACTACAGAGGTAAGATATCTGATGGAGATGAATTACGAAGTCATTGTCCCACCCTCAACTCTCAGGTCTCTTAAGTTGTTGATTTTGTTTCTAGGGGTAAAATCGCTTGTCAGATAGGGGCATTGCAAATCATCAACCATCTAGCCAAAGGCACACCCACTTGACCCAAACCCGAAAAGAGGGATGAAGCATCTTCCCATCGGTTGTCGGTACAGCTCAATGGGGTCACCTGCCGTAATTTCGAGGGGCTTGTTTAATCCACGAGACTGTTGTTGTATTAGCATTTGGAAGCATCATCCAGTTCATCATTGTCATGCAGACTTTTGCGCTCTGCGCTAATTTCCTCGTATTTTTGACCCACCCTCATACCTCATCTCATCTCATCAAACGTCAGTTCGGTGGACCCCATGGATGTGAATCGAGATCAACCAACTGGGCTACAACTCTGCAGAAGAGCATCCCCGGATGGTGGTTAAACAGTTAAGGGTAGATGCATTGATATCAGGAAGATTTCCCTACTCTGTCTCCAAGACTTGTGGGTCGGGACTGTTCCCAGTAATCAGAGCTCTTAGCAACGCGTCAAGAGCTACCGACCTACGTGAAGTGACAAACCAAACTCGTGGAAGTTGTCAAGCAAATGGATGCCTTGTACAAGGGTGCCGTGCATTTTGGCTGGTTGGTTAACTGGGCTACTGACTGACCCTTGATGAGAAGCAATGCAACTTCCGTTAAGCCAACAAGCACATTATTAGTGCTAATCCCAAACAACAGTGAAAAATGCTTCTCCTCACCTCCCACTCGGTACTGCCAAGGTGTCACCTAATCCCTGCAACAAGACCATGCCTTCTTCGTGGTTGGCGTGGACTGCAGACCCAATTGTTCAGTGCTAATTGGTCACTTTCCCACCTATCCACTCAATGCATCTCAAAGGTGAGGGAGGTTGAACTCCTTCTGAGACCCTCTTCACCTGAAACTTGAACTGATCAGTCAGCCGGTGGAGACAGTCACTTTCTCCCAGAAAACATGCGACAATGCAACATAGAGTCTCATATCTCTTACCTCCACAGTTCTTCTCCGTGAGAAGACTCGAAATTTAGGGTGGAATGGAAGGAATAGGATGGAGGTACTTGTGTTGCTATCAGAACCAGACAATTGCATAAGCATCAGCAAACTGCAAAAGAACGACTAAACCAGCCAACCCTTTAAAAGGACTTTCCGTGAGACATTTTTTCGGTTGCTTTCTATAAAAATTCTTCATTTGTGGTAGCCTAGAAACTCCTATTCACATGTTTTAAAAAGTGGAATGAGTAGACGGTAGCTGCGCACAATGTAGGTCTGTAGGAAGCGTTGTCGCTGCTGCTACCGTGCGAGGCGGAGGAGGGTGTAATGAGGTTATGCATTTGTTTGAGAAGGAGCAATTCATTCCACCATGGTAGGTGTGAATCACAGGTGCCATCTGCACGCTGCTATGTGGTGGTGTCACCAATTCGACAATAGTCACGGCTTTGGGTTTGACCTAATCGGTCGGATTGGCGTGTCGGTTTGTCACTGTTGTGCGCAGCCGTGATTGGCATTAATTTGGACTCCGGTTGAAAAAAATACCGCTTCTGCTGCCTCCATCCACCGAGCTGCAGGTTTGCTTGTCCCCTGGGTTCACAAAGCCAACATGAGCCCATAATGATGATGTTTCATGTTTGTATATGCAACCTCCCATGATTCGGCCTCCGAATTCATGGTATGCACCTTCTGCATAATCACTTCCGGACTCGAGTGTCATATTTTATCATCGGGAGTGGCTTGAGCCATGTCCAACATCCTGTAAAGGGTGTTTTAGTTTCGTTGATGGCCTAACGAAGACATCCTCTGTAAATAGTTAAAAAATGTGAAGACTTACAACGATAGGGCCAAAAAGCATGACCCAGATGGCCGACTGGACTGCGGTAAAGTGGCTATGGCTGCCTTATGTTGTCTAATCGAAATATGGGATTTTGCCGTGAGGTGAATGGCACCATGGTAAATGCCTGAAATACTGGGGACTGGGAGTGGAAGAGGAGTTATTATCAACGCACAACGATACGCCAGATGTTCTTCGTCCAAGAATACCCGGTCTTTAAACCGATGACGTGAAAATTACGTGGCCGCTCTCCAAGGCCTACTAAAATTTTTACTCTAATGCCACTTGGCCTCTACGAAGGGCCTTTATTGCACCCACATGGTTGCTTTAAAATCCGCCTTGGCTCACTCCTCTCGCCAGCGGAAATCCAAGGCTAGCGCGCTTCGCCATAAAAGCAACTCTTCTAGAGCAGAGTGTAATGTTGCTATAGCAACAACGTGTTAATGACCTACTCAAACTCTGTTTTACCTACAGTAATAGCTAAATTCATCAAACAAACGCATAGGCGGACAATATGAACAATGTCCCGCCACTATTGCCATTCCTGAACTGGGTGAAGTGCATCATGGACATTGTAGACACGTCTTGAATGCCATTTTTAGTTCTGACTTTTCAAGGATGATGGCAAAGTGACAAAGCATGGCGGGCGAATCATTCGTGGGAAAGCGGAGCAGGTGCACCAGATCAGTCATCGCGCGTGCGCACGCCGTTGGTGCGGCGCATGTGCATGTGCGGCCGTGCCTCCACCCGCACCTCGACACACACACACCACCAAGTAGGGTGCCAGCTCATGCTGCTACCGCATTGGCTGCCCACACACTCGCACTTGATTGGTGCACGCAAGGATGGCATCTTAGCCTCTACCCCATACACATACACTCCTCCGCACGCTCGCTACTGAGGATGGCGGCCGCCAGTGTAGGTTACTTTTCCTCATTAGTTTTACCATCATCATCGTCGTCGTCACGTGGCAAATTCTACCTTTCAGACTCAAATTTTGGTCAAAAATGGCCTCATAGTGAACCATGATGGCACATTGCAAGCGGACATTCTAATCGAAGGCGAAGAAATCAAGTAAGGGAATGCGAGTTTTTCCTCCTCAATTCGTGCATCTTTTTTTTTTCTCACAGAAAAGTTGCGCAAAACATCCAACCGACTGAAAACGTGGAAGTGATTGATGCCAGCGGGCTTTACGTTCTTCCTGGTGGTGTGGATCCGGATTGTCGTCTTCTAAATCCATCGGATGGAATTCCTGTGGCTGATGATTTCAAGACTGGATCTGGTGCTTCCCTTTTAGGTGGCACTACAACGATAAGTAAGGCGGGCGTACTGATCAAATGAGTACTAGACTGCGTGGTACATTCACTATGGGATATCAGTTCATTCGGGAGTTGGGTTGATGCAGTTTTGCGAGATTTAACTAGTAGGACTGCACGTCTAGAGTCACATTAAACGCAAATGGCATCGAATACTTGAAGAGAACACGATTTCGCCCACACAGCCAGAGCGGGATGGCGTGGCGGACACCAGCTTTTGGGTTGGCGACAAGCGCCAACCGTCCTTCAAGCCGCGTTCCGATTGGTCAGTCAGCTCGAGGGGTTTCGGTGCGTGCGTTTTTAGGGGTAGTGATTCAGCCCTCGTAACGCCACATGAAATACACGGTGATTGGGCTCGTAATTAACATGCTGCTTGTCCGATAAGTCTGTTTTCTTCTCGCGTTCCTAGTCAACGAGATTACCGTTCGTCCCGGTCTCAGTATTACCGATGCATACGCCCGTCACCGCGGCATTCTTGACGCTGAATGTCGCTGCGATTTCGCGCTCGTTCTCTCCGTGCCGCATTTTTCTCCTGAAATCGCCAATGAGATGAAATTTCTTGCTGCTGACAAGAAGGTTGTCTCATTTTCATTCCGTTTACTAAGTGGAGAATCCGCATCTGCCCCCTTTGCCTTTGGATTGGACGAGGAGGCTCTCATGACTGCCATGGACCTCTGCTCCTCCTTGGGTATTCCTCCCACTGTGCCTGCTTGTGGTAATCCAGCAGTTTTGAACAAAGTTGCTGAGTCTGTCTTTTCCTCCGGCTTTACTGGACCTGAGGGCTGTCTACTGGCCTCTCCAGAACGATTCGAAGCGGACACAGTGGCTCGAGTGGGCCTTTTAGCTGCAGCTACAAACTGCCCTGTCATTTTTACTCGTATTCACAGCTCGGCTGCTCTGAAAGCCCTTGTTGAGCAACGCAGTCTTGGTAACGTTGTCTTTGGTGAGACCAGCATCGCAGCCATCGCCTGCGTGGTCGCCGGAAACACAGTCACACACCCGAATTGGGCCAAGGCCGCTAGTTGCGTCTCCGACCCACCAATCAGGGCCGAGGATACAGTCGCAAAGAGTCTTTTGTCTCATGTAGCTACTGGTGAAGTGATGGCAGTTGGTTCGGCACATCGTGCAATCGCCTCGAATATCCGGGCTGGGTTAGGATTGAATGACTTCCGTCAGATCCCCATAGGCCAGGCGACGGCTGGAGGCCGTTTGAGTGCTCTGTGGAAGATCGGAGTTGAAAAGGAGGCACTTCTGGATCCCTGTGGTTTCGTCGCAGCGGTTAGTACGAACCCAGCTCGATTATACAATCTCTACCCGCAAAAGGGTTGCATTGCGGAGGGCAGTGACGCAGATATTGTCATCTGGAATCCTGAATCAAAGGTTGTCCCACAGAGTTTGGTTCCTGGCGGTGTGGAAGATCCATTTGAAGGTCTGAATTGTTTAACCTGTCGTCCAGAGGTGGTTTTACTTCGTGGTAAAGTGGTGGTGAGGCAGGGGGAGCTGGTAGGCACGAGCGAACCCACTGGCCGATTTGTCCATTCCAAGGGATCGAATGGCATGGTATTCGGTCGCACGGCGGCGTTAAAGACCGTTGGTGAGGCGCTACTCTGTCCAGTAACAAGGGAGCCCTACTCCGGTCCCGTAGCCAACCTGGACTCTGCGCGTGATCACACTTCACCGCCGAGGGAGTCGCATTTCTATCGCAAATCGGACTATGACAACCTCCCTAAGGGTATGTTAGTTTGCCAGTTACCCTTTTTAGCTAACAAAACCTAGTTACCTCCAAACCTTAGTGCTCTTTTCAACTTAATGTATCTAGTTTTACAGTCGTTTTACAGCTCTGTCTAGCCTACCGAAGCTCAGTACACTGTTTTCGTACCGACTACCTCCGAGTTAAATTCCGATTAAAAGGGGTAGTAATGAATGAGCTGAAGCTGGAATTCGTCAAATCATGAGAATTTCCCACAGCCTCAACCGCTTGTATTTCAAGGACCGTAGATCTTTTAAATACTTTCTTTTGGGTTGCAGGTTAGAGTTTACTGCCTAAAACCTCCGATGCCCACATGCTGGGTCTGTGTTTGTGCATGTGTGCACGTATTTTTTTCCGTCACAAGCTAATTTTTTAAGTAAAAATGTAAAATGGAGCTCGGTGAGAGCTTTTTTTCCTGGTGATGTTTGTGTTTGCTAACCTACTGTGCAATGCCTATTAGTTTGCGGCAAGTAGTCAGAGGAGTTTCCAACACTTTTCCCACTTTTCTACTTTCCTTGGAAGAAGCACAGCAGGGATACGAATTCATTTCGGTTGGTGTTTGTGCTCCAAATGTGGATGAAGTTAGCTCTCTTGTAGGTGTAATCTCGTTCTATAAACTCAACTTCTAACCACACCGGTTCTTTTGATTTGGTATCATTTGCAGAGGCGTTGCCACCAGGCCAACGGGTAATTCACACCTCTGTGAAGACTGCACAGCCTCCTGGTGGTGCGTCAAAATCGTTTTGGTGGAACAACTGAATCTTCCAACTTCTCTAATGCGTCATTACCCGTCAGTGTGCTTTGCCTTTGCCTCGTCATTCGTTATTCCATACTCTTTTCCGGCACCGAAGCCGTAAACGCCTACTTTTTTTCAACCAGAAGAAATAAGTGCTCTTGAGGGTTTTTTGAGTTGTGCTTCTTCAGAATGCTTGTAAAAGTGTGGGAAAGCGGAATTCGTCGTTGGTGGAGGGGGGTGGGTATTTCCATACTTTTTGTCTGCAAAGTTTTTTACTATGCTTCTATGGGTAGGTGGATTCATTTGCCTGTCGTAAAGATGGTATCTGGCGTTTTTCAGGAAATTAGCAGCATTTTGATAACAGGCGGTGAAGTCTGTCTTTGCTACATGTAATGATGGATGACCTTTCGTTTAAATGACGATTAGCTTCTTAGCTTTTGGAATTAAAGACAAAGTACCCAAAGGTCAAGCATTCGCGCAAAATGCGTCTGAAAGTGAGCAGTCGTGGCACTAAAGAAAGCCCCCCCCCCCTCATCCACGCTCTTCAGCAACAAAAAAAACGTAGCATCAAACATTTCTTGCGTAATAATTCAACCAATCTAAACCTGCAGCAAAAGCGCTACTCCACCCATAATCCACTTGGCCGGTTTCTCCTTAGTGCGCAGGTGGAAGGTCCACACAAACGTGGGCCCCCTCATTTTTGTTTTATACACCGGACAGGCGTAGAGGCTGGCCAGACGACCCTCTTGTCTGTCTGTTGGCACCGCACGCAGCATGATAACCGGCAGGGGTGGGGCCAACTCCTTCATTCGTGCTTCGACCACCGCGTTAGCCCCGGTGTCCCACCGCGCACCTTCCATGAAAAGGCCGTGAATATAGGCTCCCTCTCTTGGCGCTACGCCCATGTCCTCACGCCAGCGCTTGGTCACCTCCACACTAATGCAAATCTTGTCCAAGGGCCACTCAAATTTGCGCGCTGTCTGTTGCATCACAGCGGTGAGGAAGGACTGGGGGTTGAAGAGCCCGCCCAGCCAGACGGAACCAGGGAGGGTGAAATCCTGTACCCACACATCGAGTTCTTTGACACGAGAAAGGAGGTCTGCGAACCATAGGCCCAGGGGATAAAGGCTGGGGTAGGCGTAGCGTTCCCAGGTCTGCGGCACCTGTTTGGTAAGTAGAGGGTAGTTTCGAACTCGCAGTGAGGAAGAAGTATGCCAAGAATATCTCGTGAGCTGGATTACTGGATCTGATGAAATTTACCGATTCATCAGTTTATATTAGATAGACGGGAAAGACACTTTTTAGCATGGGTAAGTCGACGCGATTTTGAAGCAGGAACAGTTGGGGAAGAGACGATTGGGATTCTACAGTATGGTAGAAAGCAGAAGTTACTTACCGAATCTAGGAATAGGTATCCTGAGAGGGCATCCATATCACTGGACATGGTTAGTTCACCCCTTAAACCAAGACGCAGTTCTTTGAGGGAACGCCGGATCTCCGCCACCAGAGTGTTCATGCGTTCGCACTCCTGCATGGCCACCACAGTGTAGGGCGTGCGCTCCTCGGGGGCTTGGCGCGCACTTAACTCCATCATATTGAAGCCGTCGGGCAGCCGATCCATCAGGTCCTCAATAATCTGCAACATTACCTCCTCCCTTGAGACGGAGTCACTCGTCGCAGCGGCTGCATCGCGCGGTTGCAGTTCCAGCACCATGCGGAAGACACGCTCTGCGTTTTTGGTCAAAAACTCAATCTCCGCATTTGGATGGAGGCCGTAGAGGTGGGGAGATTCGGGGGGGAGGGCTTCATCGATGTAGGCGTGGTATCCTATGTAGTCGGAATTGGGAGCCACTAGGAAATTGGGAGCAAGGTAGAGGTCGCCGTCAATCTTTTTTTTAAAAGAAAAAAATAAAGCCAGAAATTATTTATATGTAGGCATAAGTAATGATCACTTAATAATTATTTGACCCAATAATTGCTTAGGTCATTTGAAAATAATCAGTGATACATTTTTTGCTGAACCTCAAAATAAACAAGCCGTATCCAATTAAAATCAGGTAGTCAGCATGTAATCTTTCCCCACCGGCCCGTTTTTAGAGGAGACATAAAAGAAGTGGAGGGAAAGCTCTTTTGTCAGTTTCCATTTTCGTGCCTAGTTCCCAAACATTCTAGGGGGCCGTGCCTTTTTTCACCCCCTCCCAATTGGCTGACTTCAAGCAAAGATGTGGCTTCAGTGTGTACATAATCGCTGGAAGGTCAAGGTCAATCGGTTGCTATAACCACTCGTAACTGAAATTGTCTGGCGACGCTCACTGATCGGTCGTTAGGCGTGTGCGTACTCGCCGTGACTCCTTTGCTTGCTCGTACGTGTTGGTAGCACAGGGGTCTGGACCCAACATTCTTCCTAGTAAGTAGTTGAATGGGAGTTCGAAAGGATCCGGGTCATACGCATAAAACCCAGCACACAACAGCCCTCCCAACGGCAATGCATCTATCTTAAAGCGACTTATCATTAAAACGGGACCTGTTAAACGATATCTAGGCGGACTCCTCCAAGCGAAGCTATATCAAAAACAGCAAAAATCACTTGACAATATGACAAAAAAAAGCGCATAAGATCGAATAATGCTGTCATTTGACGATCATTTACAGTAATTAGATATGATTTCTTTTCTTTATACGCTTCACCTTACCCAACTTTTCTGTTTTAATAAAGCCATCCGATGTCAAGCCGGTTCGACCTCGGATAGATTCAAATGTTGGTACAGTAGCTAGCTAGTGAACCACGCAATCTAGACACAATTGACCTTCGCAATTCCAGAAGAGGGGAATTGACAAAGTGAAACAGCACAAATGCATCATAAAGATGGGAAAAGACGTTGTTACAATGCTCACTAGTTCAGGCTGTAGATACTCCTCCAGGAAGGTTCGACAAAGTCGCCTATCCCAATCGTCGGTGATATGACCACCGTACATTATCTCCCCGAAGAGGTAACGCAAATCGTCCCACGGAACCTTGGAGCTAACTTCCAGATAGTTATAGAGCACGTCCAAACAGATACGCAAGTCGCCTGCGTTGAAAGGATAGATCCTATTCCAGCCTTGTGCACCGAACTTTCTTCGCTCCGACACAACAGCATGGAAGTAACAGAGGGCAAATAGAATCGGCTTGAACTCCGCCTCTTTGGAACAGCGCTCCAGAGTTTCCTTGAATTAAACAATAATGGGCTATCATTTGTTGGCACTGGTGGAAGCTAAATATGTGTGTCCCCCTACCTGTGTGAAATTGTCCAGAGCTTTATGGAGATTTGCTTGCATGCCGGTGGGTGGTTCGTTAATGATTTTGATGGCGTTTTCAAGAATGCCTTGTGGAATAATGTGCGAATCCTCGCTGAGAGCCGGTTCAGCGCTGATAAAAACACGGAACTTCGAATTGGCGATCTCTCCTAATTGTTCCAACTTTTTTTCCAATGTGGGAAGCCATCGTTTGACTAGGTGGATGTTTTGCAAAACCACCCAGTGTCCCTCTATCGCTCCCAAGTCGAGGGCATTCTCCGCTACAATCTCCTGTCCTTGACCCAGTGAGACATTGTGGAAGTTGTTCTTGTCAACTGTAAAACCTAACTTGTGACCTAGCACTTCAACATCTTTCAGCGGGTCTACACCTGGTGAGAGAATAAAGAAGACTGGAACATTGGGTCTAGACTCTTTGTAGGATGTGGCGAAATCCACCTGCCGACCTTCCACGTATTTGGAGCTAAAGGTGGTAGAAATGAAGTAAGTCAGTGCGTAAGTCATTCGGTCGGGTCGAAGAGCTCGCATTATGCAAAGTTTCTCCGCTTCCGTCTTGTTTTTCCATTCCTGAGGCAGTTTCTCCTTTTCTGGAGCCTCAGTCTCCACAAACGTTTTCCAGCGTTTAGTCGAGGCGATTATGTCCTTATCGAGGTCGTGAAAAGTGTCCATCTTGACGAGAGCCTGAACCCCACCCCAGCCAAGGTCACTAAGAAAGTCCACAGGACTTTTGAGATCGGGAATTGCGGGATATCGTAGAAGAAAATCTATGAGAAATTGAGGAAAGTTGCCGGAATGGTGCTGAATCTGGAGAACCATTAGGACGCAGAAAATGAGCTTGTCTCTTTCAAACAGGCCTCTCGTAGTGTAAACATAGATTGCGTAAGTAATACTGTCCATAAGACTCGCGAGACGCTCTTCGTCCGTTTCTGCCTCAGGCGCATTGTCGATAGCCCACTCGAAGACAGTACGGAAGGCCTTCAGTGAGAACTGATACATGGGATGGATTCGGTTTAAATCATTCATGATGAAGTAGATTAGGGCCGCTCTGGTCGCCACGTTACGATAATGCTCTCTTGCGACGTTGATCTCTACCTCAGTGACCTTTGCTTCAGCCACTTTCTCTTCAATTTCAGTAGCTGTCCTCTTGTTACTTTCTAGATTCTCTACCAGCGAATGGTCACCCAGAAAGTTGCCACCTGTATTTGCAAGTTTTGCTAAGAGTGAATCCTCCAGCTGCTTCAGAGTAATCTTGAATTCATTCTGCTGTTTGGTCAAATCCGATTTAAGCTTCTCAAGATCAGGTCTCTCCTTGCTCACCACAACCGCTAGAAGTTGGTCTTCTAGGCCAGATCTTGTAACAGTGAAATTAATAAGAGTTGTCTGAGCCTGTAGCTCGGGTTGGTAGTGAGGATTTGCTAGTTTAGTGTGAAGAATTAACTTGAAGTTCGGGTTGTAAGGAATCTCTTTATCACCAATCAGCATTGCTCGACCCTTCTGAATTGTCACACGACCAATGACGGGGTCGAGGATTGCATCTATGGTCTCACCAAGGTTTTCAATCAAAACAATCTGACCATTCTGGACAGCGTTAATGATCTCGTCGATGTAGCCCTTCTTAGTTAGCCGAGTTACGATAAGATCATCGCCATACTTATTCTTTATCCACTTGATAGCCTGAAGTTGGGGATCCACCATCAGAGGCCATCTTTCGCAAAACGTAAGAATGGTGGCATTTTCAACAGACATTCGATCACTGGGAAGCCCGTCATTATTCCATCCGGCCACAATAGCATCGTTAATTAGCATCTTTAGGGGGTCAATATTCTGTCTTCGTGGAATTTGGATCGGTTGCTGATCCAAAAAGGGTCTTATTCTTTTCTCCATTAACTCATCTCGGAAGAATGCGCTGAGGTAACCAAAGTACGATATGAAGGAAGTTGTGAATATGACATCTCCAGATATGGTTTTACCCAACTGGTAGAGATTTTCAACCTCTTGAGCCCAACGCACCTTCTCATCGCTGAAGCCACTAACAAGGCGATTGGCCAAATCCAAGGTCAAGGCTGTGTCATCAGCCATTTTTTGACAACGCAGCTTCTCCTCAGTTGCAGCCCGGAATTCTGCCGTCAGCTTGTTCAACGATTCTTCCAGCACACGCACCTTGTCCCGTAGACCCTGAAGTTTTTCCGTAGCCTGGCGCAACTCCTCATTCGCCGCATCCAGAGCATCTCGTTTCGGTTTGACCTCCAGAAAGACGTCATGAAATTTTAGGATATTGATAACCCACGAGCAGAGACCTGCTGCAGCCAGAGACTTGGTCTTTATAACCTCTGGATTAAAGTTGGAATTTCTCACATAACCTAGTGCAACTTTCTTCGATTCTGGATGGATATGCTCCTTGTCATAGTTGACCAGGTTAAAGAGCAGTGTGTCCGCTTTTGACATGATGCTTGCTTTCGCTGCCTTCCAACTTCGATCCTTGGGGATTTTCCCGTCCATAGCGAAGAGAGCCATAACCGCTGAGCAGACCATTTCAACATCCGAGGGCGGCGAGGTGAGTGCTTTTAACTCAGAGAGGTTGTTCTTATTAAGCGTGTTGAGGGCCTCTTGTGCGGCGATCAGAGCTGGTTCAGCCTTCATGAGATCACGCTCACAATCCTTCTGTTTGATCTCCACCTCATTCTTAATGATAGCCACCTTCGCCTCCTCACCGGCGACAAAGTCCTTCTCTGCGGAGACGATTTCTGTCTCCTTGCTGACCACCTGAATGAGAGCATTTGCCGCCTCATTCTTTTCGTTCACCACTACCGTCTGCTCGGCTAGTTGAACCTTTAATTCAGCCGTCTGCCCAGCGGCGTCACTGAGGCGTTCAAGGCCATTTGTGAGGCGCTCGATCATGGCGTTGATTTCATGTAGTTGCTTGGAGGTGAGACGCTTATACAGCGCGATCATCTCGAGGAATGACTTAGGTGTGGTGTAGTTTCGACGACGCTCCTTTTCGAAATACATGTCGGAGATCTCGGATACTGTGGTGTGGAGGTAGGCCATGTAATTGCTCACTGAAGTGCGAATATTATCCTGAAGTCAAGCCCAGAAAAAGAGGGTTAGGATCAGTTGTCACATTTACCTATAAAGTCGGTGTCCCATCCGTTCTACACCATTCATTACTTCTGATAGCCTCTCCAGGGATATGATGATATGCTCAATGCCTTCTGATCCTTGCAAAAAAATATGATAGTCTTTACATATGCACGTCTAAATGGAGTGCCCGGTTGTGAAGAGAGGCAATGATAGGCACAAAAGACGAAACGAGGTCCGAATACAAGGTTAGCGATTGGCAGACGAGGTGTCCTTTCACCTTGTTTAGACTGTAGAAAAATAAAACCACTTTCTACGTGCTGTGAACTCACGTCTAGGCCTTCACAGTCCTCGAGGAATCGAAGAGACACAGACAGCAGTGCCTCTTGTGGCCATTCATGAAACCAATCAATGGAGGTGCAGTTGACCAAAGCTGGGAATCGACGAGCACGGGTTCTCAGAGTATTTCCAACAGGCGAGAAGCAGAGGATCACCTAAAAACAGTGAGACCAGATCAGAGATTGGTCAAACAGATGAGAGGCATTTCAGAACTCTACAAGAACGGGATGTGTTTGCTGGCTACCACTTACCCGAAGCGTGCGGCGAACCTTCTCAATGAAGTACTTCCAGCAATTGTCATTAGTATCAAGGTAGCCCATGGCCTTGGCTTCATTACGAATGCTCTTGATGATACCCTCTTGATCCTCGTCATTGAAAATTCCGGCGATCTCACCCGAAGCCAGAAAATCATTCACGCAGACCAAGAAACCCTCATCAGCTACCTTGAAGAGAACGAAACATAAAAAGCAGAATCTGACTACCGCATTCGAGTTATCTTTGATGTATCAATCAAAAAAGCAAGCCTAGAAAATGGTTAACAAGAAGGTTGGTGGGATGGATGGCATGAGCAGAGCCCTATGCCACTGTTGTGACGGCCGACTGAATACGGGAAGGGGTGGGGGG